AAAAAAAAAAAGTAGCATCTCATAAAATGCATAATATGAAAATTGCATTAAAAAAATAATGAATATGAAATTTAGATAAAAAAAATATCTAAACAAAAAACAGAAAAGTTTTCATCACATGTTTTTTTTATTTTACAATAATAATGAAACAACATTGACTCCATATAGGTCAAGCTATGGTTTATCTGTCAGGTCAGTGAGCGTAAAGGAAACTTGGTCTCCCTTTTCAGCTCATCAAAGCCCTACACTCCAGCAAACAGTTCAACCTGTCACATAAACAGCATCAAATATAGAAATACATTTACAGATACTGAATCAGGTCGCAGATAGAAAGGAGGGAAGAGGAACTGGTTGTTTTACTCACTCAGAGGTCTGGTTATTAATGCAGGGGTTAACCTGGGTGGGGTCTGACTCTATGTGGGGCCCTACGGCCTCCATTTCTATCTTCACTGAAGACGGACTGTTGGGCTGAGGGAAAGAGGAAGCAGTTGGCATGCAGGCAAAACAAAAGGCTTCAAGGAGCATTGGACTGTTTTTCAACCTGGGCCCCATACCTGGATTTAAAACACTTTACCAAAATAGGAAAGTTTTACAAATATACCATCAGTTTTAAGGTTTTCATGTATATGAAAAAAATTAATTGAATTGAATGGAGATCAGATCAATTGGCTTCCTGTTAAATCCAGAATAGTACTAAAACATGCTCTCTCTAATATCGTAGGTGTTATTGTTTGTTATTTTCCTGACAGAGCACTTTGCTCTCAATCTGCAGGTGGTTCCTAAAATTCCTGAAACATAGAATGGGACGCAGATATTTTATTTATCAGGCTCCTTAAAAACCAGTATAGTTAGTGAGGCGAACACCGTGTCAGCTTTTAAGGCTAGGTTCAAAACTCTCCTTTTTAATGAAACTTATTGTTAGAGTCGCTCAGGTTATCCTGAGCTATCTCTATGGTTATAGGCTTAGGCTGCTGGAGGACATAGGGACCACTTTTCTTTAGGGAATCAGCAGCACAAGTTAGTCCTAATTCTAATTCTCTCACTGCATGAAAAGTGGGATTTTCGTCAATAT